TTGGATCAATACCCCAATGATGCTCGACAAATATCTCGGATTTGTGTATGTCGGTATTTTTTCAACGACCACATAATTCTCCTCATATCATTTAACTTTTTCATAATAAAATGTTAAAAATTAAATGATATATATATATATATATATATATATATATGAGGAGAAATCCCCTTATTTAAAAGAAAAAGTTTACATTACTTTATTCAATAACTCATATTTTATATTAAATTTCATGTTCTATATATAAATTTAATCTTGACATATACAAATGAATTACAATATAATTTTGTATTGACGTGAAATTTAGCAAAATAATTATCCAAATACAAAGTTAATATACTATTTATGTGATTTTGCAATTATCACACATTTCTACTTGCTACTTAAAATTTCATACACTTTTATTGTACACAATGTAATTAGGGCGGGTATACAATTTATGTGACTTTGCTACTATCCTATGCCAATGTAATTTTAACAATAAAATAACATTTTGTGGATTTCTCTATTTTTAACATGTGATGAACATGGAAATTTATGGAAAAGATCTTGGGAAAATACCGGACGAAATCTCCTTTGAGGGCAGGAGTGCCTGTATATTGAGTACTTATATCATCCCCGTGATCAGCCCACACTGATAATAGAGAATCAGTTAGAATAGAATTTAGGTTTGAAGTCCTATTTAACCATTTAAAACGTATCGAATGAAAATAACTATATAGTGCAACACATATTTATACTCCAAAAATATGCAGTAATACACGTACATATCTTATATTTTTCATCTAGATTTGGATGTGAACAAATGGTTTCTTCAGCACCAAAGACCCCAAGCCTTCTCAGCTGGCATTCTAGCATATTTCGGCCTATCATGCTCTGCATACATGTAATATAATAATAACCTGATTAAGTGGGAAAATCATGCCATAGAAACACATGCATACATGTAGCTAAATTGAACATAAGAATTATGAAGGCAATTTCAGTTTTTGAGTGCACGTATGTAGTATGCACACAAGCATATATGTATAATGTTGAGCTTTTTATGCTATGCTAAGAAGTAAGTCCAAACTAGATAATACAAGAGGAACGAAACGTTCAAATGGGGAATGAAAATTAACATTTTTTATTCATCTAATAAGGCACAGAATACTTGCATTGTATAAACCAACCAACCTGAGTAACATTTGTACGGTCTAGGCAATCAATACAATTCGTCCTAACAACCCCAAGTTGTTCCTTCATTTTCTCTCCTTTTTCATTCAATAGAAGATATCTACAATTTCAAAATAGAATTGCAACACAGGGATCAAATTTCTGGAGCACTTTAGCTAGAGATGAGTAAAAGTTTGATTACAAATATTGAAAAAAAAAAAAAATTGTTTAGGACCATTTTACATTTAGACAACAAATTAAATTATGCTTTGACAATAATCCAAAACCTTTTAGCAAACAGTTCCACAATATGCAACATAATAAATGGACTATTATAAATTATTAATTTGCTAAACCCGGCTTGTATAAAACGAGGCGATGAATGAAAATCAAATTCTTGAATGAACACTCAAGAAAATTTCATATCTAGATGATTCAAAATATAATTAATAAAATCTCTTACCCATTTCTCTCAATAAAATCCGAAATTTGATCATAAAGGATTGAGAGACGATCGAAATGAACGTGCCCACAAATGTGATGGAAATCAAAGTGCACATATCTACAAAAACAGAAGGTTTGCATGGATACCAAATAAAATAAAACAAATAACATATACATACATATATTTAATAGTCAATTGAAAGAGACTCCTACCTGACATCATTATTAGCTACATTTTGCACTGTGCTTCCGAATTTTTCACATAGCCGCCCCTCTCCTCCATGCTGATAAAAAAACAGATAAAAGACACTTAAAGAGATGCATGCTGATACATAACTCCACCCATATTAACACAATATATTCTCAGACTATGCACAACATTATATAAAGATAGTATTTGGTTGATGCCATGTTATTGACAACATCCATTTTCTAAAGTTACTTAAAAGTTCAGTAACCAATTATAGACATTAGTATCATTAGACAAAATTGAAGATAAGCATTCTAAGTATTTTTGCAATGGAAAAATATTCACCTCGTTGACAAGATCAACAGCTAACACGGCCCCATATTTTTTCCTTAAATCTAAGAAATGCCTCTCTAGGACTCGGGGCTGTATTATAAGTAAAGAAACGACAATCAAATACATGTAGATTATTAGATGAAAACCTCAAGTAATATAACAGCCATAAAACCACTTACAGCTTCCTCATGTTTCAATAACTCATACTTTGGTTTATATGTTAAGTTAACAATTTGCTCCCAAGGCAGTGGAATTGAACCACGAACCTGCAAAATATAAACCATAATGGCACTTACGCAAATGAGAAGTTTGATGGCAGCTCATTCTAGCAAGTCAAAAATCCCAGCATGGAATTATGGAGGATAGCATTGCAGCAAATGGCAGATGCTTCGTGAGTGGTGACCGAACTGTAAAATATTCTAGACTTGGGAGCAAATTGTTATAATACAAATAAACAATGAAAATCTAAATTATATCAAGATTCAAGAATAATATAATCCAAACTTTTTCTAGCATAAAAAATAAATGTATAATAAAAAACTCAAATATTAATGCAACAGTAAGGAAACATAACGTAAATACGAAGATAAAAACAAACTTAGTGATTTCTGGGATGATAACAGTTTTTCTTTTCTTTTTATAAATAGTGAAAGTAAAAGCAATAACAGATTTGTGAAGGTAAATGTCTGGCTGAGTTTCAAATAAAATTTGATTAAAAAAAAAGACCTTAAAAATAAGACTTATGATTTCAAGTCAGAGTGTAAATAGTAGGCAATGGTTTTTTGGGGGTGTCAGTGAGTTGTTTATTGTTGAAGAGAGTAAGCTGTTGGGGAATGTTGTAAAACAAAGGAGTAATTTAAGTGATTTTTTTATTTTATATTCTTTTCTTATTTCCTTTTTTGTTTTAGTTTGCTTAATTAGCGAAAGTTGTATCCCTGTAATAGAGAGAGAAGAGAATGCAATTTGAGTGATACAAAATAATAAAATCAGCGCCTTTTAACTTCGTAGCTCCCGATTTTAGAGGCTCTGTTTCCGCATCCTTATCCAAGAAAACTGTTCCCTTCCTATAGCCGCCGATGAGATTGGTGGTGGGCTACGAAGGTGCACCCTTTGCTGACAATCAAAGTGCCGTGAGTCACATATAGATGATCTACATTTACGTACTGTATGTTCTTGGGGGAATTTAGTGACTTGAAGGGACAGAGAAACATAATGTAGTTTTAGTGGAGAAGCTGATTTTTGAGCTTTGGCACAAGGCATATGCGAAGGATTATGAATGAAGATTATTCTTGATGGACTCAGGATTAAAATTGAGACCCCTATGCTCACAGTCTAGTTCAACATGACAATACCAAACACATTGAGATAAACAAGCACTTCATCAAGGAGAAGCTAGAGACTGATCTTATTGTTATAGCTAATGTCCTTACAGAAATCCAAGTAGTAGATGTTCTTACTAAAGGACTTACTTCTAGAAGATTTCTGCAGTTTATAGGAAAGTTTGGAATGATTGGTATTCATTTTCCAAATTGAAGGAAAATATTATAAAAAAAAATAATAAAAAAACAAGTTTAGGAGATAATCTTTTATTTTGCATTCTGTACTTATTTCCATTTTTTTCCAGTTTTCGTATTTGGGACAGTTGTCTCCCTATAATAGAGAGAGAAGATATTGTAATTGGTGCGATACAAATTAATAAAATCATTCCTTTCAATTGGGAACTTCATGGCTTCTTGGTGTTCTTTTTATCAAAAGAACATGAACATCAAGGGTCGAAATCCTATATCTTGACCACCTGGTTTGGTCTTCAACTTTTACAAGAAGATTCACTAAAATGCCTATATCTCAATCACAAAAATACAAGTCTAATGTTGGGTCATTGATTATGAATGTTCCTTGTTGTAGTTGTGATTTTTTTCACTGTCATAATTAAATATCTTAAAGTCTCTACGGTTTTCTACTTTTCTTGTAAGTTTGGTTAAAAATTGCTTATGTTCAAAAAAAAATAAGACGTACAGACAAATGATGTTTGCTTGTTAGTTTACTTTAGTCATAATTTGTTGTTGCATTACCAAATAAAAGTTAGTTAATTTTAGTATTTAAGCATTAGTTGTAAACACTTTCAAGTGTGCAAAATTGAGTTTATAACTCAAATATATAATATTAGTTTTTGCTCACTTGTGTGTGAAGTTGCAGGTTTTTTAATCTGAACCTATTATATTTCAACTTAGTCATACATCTCTATTTTCATATTCTGCTTTCAACATGGTATCAAGAGTTTCATTGATCTATAAAGGCGTGTGAAAGAAAGAAAAAAAAAAAACAGAGAGAAAAAACTAGGAACAAATCTCAAACTAAAAAACCTTCAAACACAAAAATGGCTTCCAACAGTAGTTCTTTACCTCCGCCTCCTATATCTGCAGTTGAAAACTATCACTAGTGGATTGCGAAAGTAAAGACTTATCTCAGAGCTCAAAGTTTGAGGGTTATAGTGGAAAATGAAAGTAATTCACCGCCATTATCAGAAAATTCAATAGTAGTTCAAATGAGGAGTCATAACAATGAAGTGGAAAAAGAAGGAAGAGCTCTTGCCACTATACAAGCAACATTACATGATGATGTGTTTATCAAGATTTTGACTCTTGAAATTGTAAAAAAGTCATGGTAAAAGTCGTAGGAAGAGTTCTAAGGAAATAAAAGAACAAAAAGAATGTAGGTGTTGAACCCAAGGAGAGAGTTTGAAGTGATAAAGATGAAAGAAACCAAATCTGTCAAAGATTTTTCTAACAGACTTTTGAAGGTTGTTACCCAAATCAAATTACTTGGTGAAAAACTAAGTGATTAACGTATTGTGGAGAAAATCCTAGTGTCTTCGAGAGAGGCTTGAATAAAAAATCTTCTCTTTAGAAGAAAATAAAGACTCTTCTCAAATATCAATTATAGAATTTGTGAATGCTTTGCAAGCCACTAAACAAAGAGGATCAAAAAATACTAAAGGTGCTTTTGTAACATACACAAGAGGCAAAAAAAAAGAAGAAAGAAGACAACAAAGAAATGGGTTGGAAAAACAAGTTTCTACTGTGCCATCATTGTAAGAAGAACAACCATATTGAAAATTTTGTTGGTTTAGGCCAAACATTAAATGTAGGGCCTGCAATCAATTTGGTCACGTGGAGAAAGTTTGTAAAAATAAAGCAAACCCACAATAACATTAAGCTCAAATTACAGAGCATGAAAAACAACATAAGGAACATTTATTTGCTGCTACTTGTTATTCAATGAGCAATAGCAAAGAGGCATGGCTCGTAGACAATGGATGCACAAATCATGACTCATGATACTGCAATTTTTAAGGAATTAAATCAATCCCAATCTCCAAAGTGACCATAGGCAATGGAGAAATGTTGATGTCAAAGGTAAATGAGTTATTTCTATTAAAACTCCTTCAGATATCAAATATATTTGAGATGTTTTGTTTGTGTTTGAAATAAATCAAAACTTTTTGAGTGTGGGGCAAATGCTTGAAAAGAATTATTGGTTGTGTTATAAAAATATGAGATGCACTATTTTTGACCCTTCCAGGTGTGAGTTTATGTCCATTTAAATGAGAGATAAAAGTTTTTCAATAGAGTGAAAGAAAAAAGTCATGCATGTTGTTTTAAAGAAAGATGGAAATTTGAAAAACGGGTCACTTGAAGAGGCATTTTAGACTCTAAAATGTGATTCAAATGGACTCATAGCTGAAGTTACTCAAGAGAAGATACACCTTTAGACAACAAACTTGAAGAGTAGAAAGAAAATAAGGTTTTATAGCTATTGGGATCTATGGGGAATCCTTTTTTATGGGTCATGGAAATTGTAACAATCATGATTATGGCTTTGGCCAATTGAGGAGATAAATTTTTTGATTGGAAAAATTTAGTTGGAATTATTGTACTTCTTATCAATTCAACAATAAGTTTTGAGAAGAAGAACAGTTTTGATAATTTTGTTGCAACTCTCATGGAAAAGGTTTTTCAAGATGGAAAGTGGATTAAGGAAATTGCAAGGATTTTTATTTCAAGTGATACAATCAATGTTAAGCTTGGGGATATTAAATATGTTGATATTCATCTACTTGAAGAAGATCCACAAAGAAGTGTAAAAGGTGATTGAGATCAAAGCTTGAAGTGATGAAGAAAAATCTCAAGGAGTGTTGACAATTGAGATTTTTTCTACTCTCATAATTAAATATTTTAAAGTGTTTGCAGTTTTCTATTTTGCTTGTAAGTTAGGTTAAAGGTTACTTATATTCAAAAAAAATAAGTAGTACAAACAAATGATGTTTACTTGTTAATTTATTCATAATTTGTTATTTGCTTTATCCAATCAAGAGTTAGCTTTAGTATTTAAGTACTTGTTGTAAACACTTTCAAGTGTGCAAAACTGAATTCATAACTCAAATAATCAGATCAATTTTTACACCCTTTTGTGTGTGAAGTTGCAGATTTCTTAATCTCAACATATTATATTTGTTCTTAGTTATACATCTCTATATTCATGTTCTGTTTTCAACATTCCTCAAAGATCATTTTCTGTGAAACAGATGTGTTTTTTTGTGACTCAGCTTTTGCATTAATAATATATTACACTTAAGTTTGAAAATTTTGTTAATAATTGACGAAAATAATACACTTTTAAATATTGTCTTAGTTTTATACTCTGCAATATAACTACCAAGCAAACATGCATTGCTTATTTGCTCTTATTGTATTTTCTTTCTTGTCCATCAAATTATAATAAAGATGTGTTACAGTTAGCAATGCAACAATTCATTAATAATTTACACAACAAATTACATTTTCCCTGTCATCTCTCTCCATCACACTGTTAGGCAAGAGGAGATGGGCTGGGAACAAATGAGTCAAGTAAGGGAATGTAAAAATAGAAGGTATGATAAACTTAACAGAATGTGCACGTGGCTAGAGGGCATTGAAGTGAAATATTCTACCATGATGGGAAAGATAGTGGAAGACATGTTTATAGGATACAAGCGTAGCAAAGGAGGACGATGGGGAATTAGGACGGTGAGGAGTTGGTTAGGCATTTGTCTAAGAGATAGAGGTTGCACCTATAACTCTAGTTATCTTTTTTTCTGCTCTGTCATTCATCTTTTTCTTATTTCTTTTTCTACACTTGAGTTATATTGCTCTATTGTAAAAGATTTGATCTTCTAGAATTTCAGCTATTCCCTTAAATATACTACCAGTTTCTATCAGAAGTGTTCCAGTGTCCCTCAATCAACTACTCATAATAATTTATATAATAAATTAATTATTTTTTTTTGTTATCTCTCTCCATCACATCATATGTTTCTCTCTCATGATTGTAAAACTTGATGTGCAATTTCTTGTATAAATAACATTATTCATAACAATAAGAAAAATAAAATGTTACCGAAACTTTACACAATTTGAAGCAATTCTTTATTTGCTAGTGGGCTGAAAAGCTAACTTCTGTATAGTTCGCAATCAATAATTTGAAATAAAGCATCGAGCACTAATTCAAACAAGGAATGAAGTTCGACCAAAAAACAAAGGGAATGAAGAATTTTCTAAACATAAAGAACTAAAAAAATACAATTTTGTTAGCTTATTCATGCTAAAACAAAAACATCTAAGAAAAAATCAGTTTATTAATTAACCTATTGTTAAGTATCTTGTAAGTTGAGAGGGTAATGTTTATCAAAGAGCTATTTCAAAACAATTATAGCTCCATGTGATTAGAAATAGGACCACTAAATTAAATAAAATCAAGAAAACCATTATATCGTGCATTGCAGAATGCAGTTGCTCCATCATAATACAAAAAATTACCTGAACAAATGATCCTGTATAACCGTTGAGCTTCATAATTTGTTCTGTTTCCACAAAATTAGCCACATACCCATCAGAATCAGCTCCTCTTCTCCACATTCGAGTTCCTTTTAGGAAATGAATTGAGTTTGTATCATTTGGCCAACCAACCAATAAAAGAAGACACTACTGCAGCACAATCTGTTGAAAATTTTTTGTGCAATGCTCGGCAGCTACGTAACAGTAATTGTTAATATGGTAGTTTAATCACTATTATTGAGGACACATGCTTCATTAAGCAGCCAAATGACAACGAAGTTTTCTAACACAATTTTCAAAGTTTATAGATTATGTGATATGAGATGTCTGAAATACTAATTTAATTTTGTTCCATTCCCTTATTAAGCTTCGAAATAAAGAAGGTAGCTTACTTTTGTTTAGTTACTTTCCTTCTGTTTCCAATCCATCCCTACTTATTCCATATTATTCCAATAATGAAAAGACATACATGAACAAGAACAATATCAATCTTCTCCTTTGCTGAAGTCATGTTCTCATGACTAAATTGATTGTGTTGTAATCCCTTGGATAGATCAGAATATGATATTTCCTCATACAGACAGAACTAAATGCCTTAATTATGAGAATATAATAGTTGTCTCGTTTATAATTATTGTACAGAATCGTTGATCCTAGAACGTCGAAATTTACTTCGTACGCGATAGCTTATGCATTTCCTTAATTAGGAATGTTGGAAATCCTCTTTCATTACAGTCACCCCTAGCCCACCTTAATTACGACCTATTAAAATTAGAACATGTATCGAAATGGGGTCGGAAAATGCACTGTTCACTTTCAAAATTTTATGTATATGTAAGTCAAATTTTTGCATTTTGTCCTCCTATTTTATTTATTTATTTATTTTTTGTATATTTGAACTCATTGACTAAAATATTTTACTCTATTATCAAATTTTGTTTTTCATCCACTAGTATTTTTTTTTTACTTTTTATTTTTAATTTAAGCTCTCTAGTACTTTATGTTTATGCACTATTCAATTAGATTTTTTTATTTCACATTGCATTTCATTCATTTTCATGATAATAATTATTATTAATTTTTATTTTGTAAAATACATTGCCCCGCTATTAAGGTACATAGATCCGCCTGACATCATCGATATGTAACTTAAGAATTAACCGTGTATGCATCACTTTAGGAATTCCTTAATTAGACCATTTTGTATTCTATTTAAGAGAAATTGCTCTTTTAAACTTTAATGAGATCACCAGAAAATGGTTTTTGACAAATAGAAAATAATATGACCACAGTTGGCTTAGCCTAAACCTACAGTCAACATAACACATTTTCTATTTAATATAAAGAACTCTTAAAATAATGGATTTAAATCTAAATCCTATAAAACCTACTTGTATTGTAAAGTGAGGGTTGTTTTCCACTTATATATTCTTTAATTACCTCATCTTTAGTCGATGTGGAACTTAAATTTTTCCCAATAAAAACTAATACCAAATCTAACTTTTTACAACTTAGGACCTAGATATGGTCTGTAAAACATACCTATAATGTAATGCAAACCATCCTAACAATCTTCCACAACTAGCTACTTTTATAACCACTACCAAATTAACCTCTATTAATTTCATGAGATGAAAGATTAATTTCTAAATCATAAACAAGGCATATACAAAAACATTATAAGAGCATATTTAATCTAGAAATATATAGAAATTTATTCAAAAAATTTAAATACCATTTCTTCTTGTGCATCTTCTAGCAATCAAAGTGATGTCAATGATATCTTTCCCAATAGCTGATTGAAAGTGATGAAAGCCTAATGATTTGTTAAGGATAATCCTAAAAAGAAATAGTTAAGTGATTACCATGTAACAATATAATTAGTCAAATTAAACAAATGAACAACCCAAACAAAAATTACATTGCATGTCATAGAAAAACAACCATAAAATGAGGAATATAACAATGAGAATAGGATACTGCCTTGGACTACAGGGAGCAAGAATGGGTCAAGCTGCATTTACAAGATCAAACATTAATTGCTTAGTAATATTATAATGCATAAGTAATGAAGAAATAAAAAAATATATATCAACAAATTTAAAGGCCTACCTTGTTATCTATAAGCACTTCCAACAGATAATTATTCCATAAAAACCGTGGCTCTGCCTGTGATAAAGCATTTGTATCATAAGCAGAAAAACACAAAAACAAAAAGAAAAGAAGATTGAATGATCCGGATATTTTTTGCATATACATCGAGAGACCAAGGGATAGTAATAAGAACAAACTATAAATTGTGATCCAAAAAAAGAACAAACTAAAGAAGAATAATTTTTCAATCATGGCATCCGCACTCTTTTGTAGAAAAAATATAATGTAAAACGACTAGTGACACAAAAGGCAATACATTACCTGTCTCCAAAGGGGAAGCAACCTAGACTCTTCACCAAGTTCATTTAGTCGTTGGACACTGCAACGCATAATATTAAAAATAATAACATCAATAGTTACAATTTTACAATTAATTTTATTTCAATCGCAAATATAAATAAATTATTATTTTAACCATGCATCTAACTATAATATATAATACAATATAAACATTCCCCACCTTAAAGTTTTATTATTCAAGTATTCATCAAAATCAATTTAATTTTTATGCCTTCTGTTTCTTATTATTTCAACAAATAAACATTCCTAATTATAAATTTTATTTACCCACCTCTCTTTAATATTAAAATTATTTAATTTCTTTAATTTTACATTTTATTATTTTATGTAAATAATTATTTACATTAACACACACATATATAATAATTTTCACATTTTGTATATTTAGATTGTAGTGCATAAAAGATATTTAACAAATACTTAACAATAAAATATAACCTGTTATTATTAAATTAAAAATATTATTTAAATTAAGATATATGTATAATATTTTAAATATTTGAAATTATTATATTTTGAAAATATTTCCATTTGTGAGTGTTGTTTATTATTTTGAATATTTTATTTATGTTTATCAAATTTCAAAAAAAATAATTTTTTCTCAAAAATTATTGAAATTTTTGTTTAAATTTAAATATAAAATTTATGCATTTTTTTATTTTTTTTATAAATATTTTACCTATTATTATAATAATTTTATTTAGATAAGTAATTTAATTTTTAAACTTTCGGATTTTATTTTTATTAACTAATTTAAAATAATTTCACATGATGAAAGTCAATATGAAATAATATTTTTATGCAAATTATACATGTAAATATTTATACGTGTATATACAAGATAGAAATATTTTATAGTTTACATAAATAAAAACTTCATAACAAAGCATATTATAAAAGAAAATAAATTAATGTCTCAATTGGAATAGTAAATTTTTTACCTAAACTATATAAAAGTATGTCAGTATTTAAATTACGTGGGTAAATTTTATATACCATGAGGATAAAAACTTTATATAAAAACGTGCTGAAACATATTTTATAAGAGTGAGTTTTTTTACTTTTTTTGTTGACAGATCATAAGAGTGAATGTTAAACTCAAGAAATTAAGAAAAATATTTTAAATATTAATTAAACCAATTAATAACTATATTTTTACTGTAAAATTTTTAGAGTTTAATGATATGTTTTGTTGGTGTAAAAGATTTTAGATTTTCAACTAATTAGAACCTACTTTTTATGTGACTTTTAAAATTATTATTAAAGTTAGCAAACTTAATATAAATGATAGTTTTTTATTAACTTGTAAAATTGAAAATTACATTGTTAGTCCATGTGTTTATCTTTCTCAAATTATTGAACAATTTTTTTTCACTAAAATGATTTTTTTTCTCTAGAAATATCTATACAACTTTTTTTTACACCAATATATACAAAAATGTTATTCATTTATTTTGATGAAAAACATTAATGTGTTAAATATAAGTTGATTTTGTAATACCACAAGTTTTTGTTTAATTATTGTCTTTTAACAATAATTATGTATTGAGTTGTTCCAAAGTGAAGTGTTGACAGATTTTGGAAGTTAAGGAACTCCTAAAGAGTCCTTTAGTGTTTTGGAAGGTTTCTCTGGATAGAGATTCAATTTGACCTTAAAGGGAGATTTTGGTAAGAATTGAGTCTCATGAGTTTAATTCTTCAGCATCTTAGATAAATAAAGTAGAGAGAAGTTCTTTGAAGTCGAAGTTTCCTTTTTCTTCCTTTGACCTTCTTATGAGTGTGTGATCCTCCTTTCAAAGAGTTAAGTTGTTGTTGTTGATTCATGTCCATAAAGTTGTGAATCAGAGCTTTGAGTGTGCAGAGTTTCACGGAGGAGCTCAATTTTGTTCTTCCTTCTCCTTCATCTCTTTTCTTAAATTTGAGTGAGGTAAGGGAAGCTAAGACTTGTCTTTAGTTGGAATGCTTGTGATGCATGTTGGTTGCTTTTATCAAACAGTTGTTACGTTGACTAGATTTAGATTAAATGATGAGTTGTTAAATTTTGGTGCTTTGAGCATATGAAGGTGAATTTTGATGAATGGAGCCATCTAATTGTTGCACGTAGTAAATGAGTTGGTTGTGATACATATGTATGGAATATTGCATTGCATGCTTGGTTCTTTTGATTTTCAAGTGTTGTGGAGCAAATTCACGAGTCTACTAAATGCAAAATTGATCGTTGTGTCAAACATGCCTTCATGACACCAAGCGTAGATCAATCAGAAACATTCTATCTTGATCAGATCAAACATGAGAAGAGAAAATTGTCTTGGATTGAACTAGCGTCGGATGTAGTTTCAATAGTATGAGGTGCAAGGTGAGAGAATTGGCTCTGCTTGGATCGACGTTGGGCACCTAAGGAGTGACATTGGGTGTGAGGAGAGATAATTGTCTCAAGTTGGCCTGAGACTGAGTGTGGGACTTTACCATGCCAAGTATAAGGGTCTAAGGGATCTCCACCTAATCCACACTAAGCATAGGTCAAACGGCGTTGAGCGTGGGTGAGACAAAGAACTCCCTACCCCAATGGCGTCGAGCGTAAGGTGTTTGGTGCTAGACACTGGTTGTTCTAAAAGCACTTGTTGTTTGTTTAATTAAATGATGAACATGAATAGGTTAAGTAGTTTTTTACTAAGGATGTGTTTGGTCAAGCAAGCTTATAAGCTAACTAAAAGCTTGTAAGCTACAAGTTGAGCTGAAAAATTGGATGTTTATAAGGTAATTGATCAAAACTAAAAGTGTTTGGTAAGATTAGCTGATAAGCTAGTTGATTAATGTAAATAACATATTTATTTATTTAATTAGAATAGTGAAAGGGTAACATGTAGAAAAAATGGTTTCTACATGGACCTTGTTCATGGACCAAAAAAAAAAAAAGATAAAATAATTTCTAAATTAAAAAAGTAAAAAAAAAAAAAAAAAGATATCAAGTAAATTAATGATATAAAAAAGGAAAGACAAAAGAAAAAGAAAAATCAAGAGCTTATAAGTTGTAGACTACATCAATTAGCTTATTAAAATAAGTTATAAGTCTTAAAATAAGCTTATATATCCAAACAAGCTTATTTTGATCAAAGGAATTTATAAGCTCATAATGCCTTGTCAAACTTACTCGTAAGTTAGGAATTAAAAAACTAAAAGCTTATAAATTAACTGATTGAATTGAAAATGTTTATTAAAATTAGCTAATAAGTTAGTTGATTATTATTAAATGACATATTTATTTACTTGATAATAAAGGTCAAAGAGCATGTAAACAAAATGGTTTCTAAATTCAAAAAGTAAAACAAAGATTTTAAGTAAATTAATCATAATTAAAAAAATTTAGAGCTTATATACAGACAAGCTTATGAAAATGACAATAAGATTTCATAAGTACTTCAAGTAGAAAATAAATTACAAATTCTTCAAACAAACTCTCATACTAAATAAACTTATTTTAATCAAATTAGTTTATAAACTTGTCAAATGAATTTATAAACTTATCAAATATCTTACTAAGCACCGAAAAATGCTAGACTTTCCCTTAAAAGCCCTTTCTAAATTGGAGATTCTAAGAATAAATTTAAAATATGGAGAGAAGTTTAACAAGAATTATTTCTATGGTAATCACATGAGTGTATTAGTGGTTAAATAATAAGAGTAAATAGTTATATATAAAAATAAATAAATAAAAAAGAGAGTAAATATTCCTCGCAATTGCAAATAACTTTTTCCAAAGGTATATTAGCATATAAATAAAATAAGTAAAAATATATCTACGATGAATATATATATAACCATATAAATCATGAAAATAGCTTTCAAATTTACTTTTTTAATCATTACTGAAGTTAAGAATATACATATCCCATAGGCACCCAATATCTAGTTGTTAGAAGGAAAGAAAAAATCCACCACCTAGAATAATTTATATAACATCAGAGAATTATTTGACAATTTCTGTTTTTCAAGAAATAATTTTCTATTTAAAAGTTTTAAATATACACTTCATTTCAAGGGTGATACAATTTTTTTGTCTGGACCGTCAGTCTTGTCAAAGCAATTAGGTAATCACAATTCTTTGTTAGAAATTATTTTTACATAATAAATTTAAATAATTCTTTTACAGGAATAAATAGATAGATAAAAAATAAAGTATATTAAAACAATGTGATAGAAAAAATATGCTGTAAAAAAATATTGTAAGAAATTATGGTAGGAATAATATATATATATAACTTTTTCTTCTGTTATAAAAATATTGGGAGAAGTTGCGGAAATTTCCCTTGTGCAACTTCTTTTTCTCATAGGAAATAGACCTAAACTTACCCAGTATTAAAACTCTCCAAAAGTGAAATCGGGTAATTCTGCTTCATAGGAGCATACAATGCGGAAGAGGCTTTCAATTATAATTTGAAGTTTTTTTTTAGATAATTATTTTTGTCCTCTCCTTTTTATCCCCTTAAATTAAAAAAGGGTTCCTCGTTTTAGATAAAAAAAAAAAAAAACCTAAACTGTGAGTCAACTAGCTAATCTTATTATAAAAACTTCCAAGATCAATGATTAATCATTGCAAACTAAAAATACTTTTTTCTTAAATAAAGCATGTAGAAGAGATTCACACCATTATTTAAAACTCCCTCAACAATCACATACATTCATTTTCTCTAAAACCACTTCTAAAATAAAACAATCACATGCATCATTTTCTCTAAAACACTTCTAAAATAAAATTAATCATATTAATAATTATAGTCTGGAGATGCTGGGCGGAAACTTTATGAGTGAAAATCTTTTTCCTAAAGTTGTTGCCCTAAAAACCAGTGATCTATAAGTTCACATGCAATAGGAGCAATGCCATCTTAAGCAAACAGATGAAGGTGTCTCCAAACCGGTAGATTTTAGGAATAAAGAATCCATATTTGATTTAGGAAACTATTGTTCATACTTGTTACTCATCCTATTGCAGTTTTAAATCTATTAATATTTTACGCAATCGATTAATTTTTGTGCAGCAATATTTCACGATATTTCCACGCAGTTTAGAGGACTTACTACTTTTTTTATTTTCAGCACCTAATATTTTACTCACTAAACAATCCAACTTATTTCGACTTTTCCATTTTCATTCTTTTCCTCCCATTTCTTCTCTATTTTTGTTTCGGTATGGAACAGACTGATACAGTACAATTTCCATAATACCAGATGAAGCCTTAGGCTTTGTTTAAAAGAGGGAAAGAATGGAAGACAATGTGAAAATTGATTTGATAGAAAATAAATAGAAAATGATGTGAAATTTGTAATTGTTTAACATAGTTAAATTAAGTGAGAAATTAAAAAAAAAATTATTTTAAAATTGTATTTTATATAGTTAGATTTTTATGTAAAAATATCTTATTTAGACAATTATATTTTTATTTTTTATTAACTAACTGTTTAGATAATAGTATTAGATTAGTCTTGTGTAAGCATTTTTTTTAATAGAAAATTTCACAAGTCTACTCATAAAAAAGTAAAATTAAATCTACATAGATCCTATCATAATTTTTTCACAAATTCACTTGAATCATTTCCTTCAAATACAATTTTTTTTTTTTTTTTTTTTATTTTTTGTTAATCCCTCTTTTTTTT